TAATCAAGATAGACCATCTTCCTTGAATCAACAGCTGACTTGGACGGTAGTCATGTAAATAAAATCCTTATTTTCTAAGTTAAGATTTAGCTCCAGAAACTGCAGATTTGCTTTTGCCTGACATCACTGTGTGTCTGGACATAGTCATCTATGTAATAACTGTCGCTGAGTAAATACAAAGTCTGATCTTAAGTGAATGTGGAGAAGGGGGTGTGGTACTCTGGCAGTGACCTTCCCTTCAGAGATAGTTGGGTGAAGAGCTTCTGCATGAGAGCCGCTGTCTGGGTTCAGAGGGGGGCCTGCTGGAGAATGGATCCTTTATGGCTCAGTATTGTCCCCCAGGTGGAATGAGAAAAAAAAGAAGCATTAATGTTGGAGAACTGTTCTCTAAAATAAGTGCGATCGGTTCAAAAGAAAAATTATATGTAATTTCAACAAGAAACAACTTGTTTTTCTATGGAACTTTGAAGTTATTAGAAGTCTTTTCAAATTCCAGCGCAGTGTAAGAAGGATTTTCAGGAATGGTGGCTGGTTTGGTTTGTTTTACGTATATTGACAAAAACAAACAATCGTAAACTGACAAAAACCGATTTGTGTACACAACTTTGTATGTAAGTAAGATGTTAATTTTCCCTTTATGCCATCTCAAAAGCTGAGTCTCGTTTAAGTAATCTGGTATTTGGCTAGATGATCTCAGGTAGATTTTGTACTTTGGATTTATAGTTTTGTTAAATACACATAGGCTTTGGTGATCACTTGGCCAATATTTGTTAGTCCTTGAATTTGAGAATCTTATTTGTCTTTTAGAAATAATATTTAATATTTCACAGCGTAACTGTAATGGAAATCACTGTTTTAAGTCTAGGAAGTCATCAGATATCTAAAAGACAATTTCAAAGAAGCTGGTCAGGTTCTCATTATTACTTTTTTGTTTGAGATGTTTTGTGTACTGGCTTAATTCTGTTTCGGTTTTATTTTTAACTGTTGTGTTTATGGTTTACATAAATTTTTATAATAAAATAATTTAAATTTTTGCATTCGCTTAAGTTCTTTTCTCTTACTGTTTATTTCATGCTAATTCAACTTACTTTCAGGTTTGTATTTTAACTAACTGGATTTGGTCAAATGTCAGTCAATTTTTTTTTTAAAGATTTTATTTATTTTTGGAGGCACCTATTCAGTGGGTTAAAGCCTCTGCTTTTGGCTCGGGTCATGATCCCAGGGTCCTGGGATCGAACCCCACATCGGGCTCCCTGCTTGGCAGGGAGCCTGCTTCCCTCCTCTCTCTCTCTGCCTGCCTCTCTGTCTACTTGTGAGCTCTCTCTGTCAAATAAATAAATAAAATCTTAAAAAAAAAAAAGATTTTATTTATTTTTTGACAGAGATCACAAGTAGGCAGAGGCAGGCAGAGAGAGAAGCGGGGCTGGGGGAAGCAGGCTCCCTGCTAAGCAGAGAGCCCGATGCGGGGCTCGATCTCAGGACCCTGAGATCATGACCCGAGCCAAAGGCAGAGGCTTTAACTCTCTGAGCCACCCAGGCGCCCCAAATGTCAGTCAATTTTTTATTCAACGCTGAGGAACTTTTATTCTTTTAAGTAAGCTCTATGCCCAGTGTGGGGCTTGACTCCTGCAAGATCAGGAGTCACGTGCTCTACTCAATGAGCCAGCCAGCTGCCCCTGAAGAACTTTAATTTCAAATCTTGCTGAAACTATATATGAAAATATTGTTACAAACTGCATGATAATAGATGGGTATAAAGTATTTAATGCAAAGTTTCTCACTGTGAAACTATAAGAAGAAAGATATGATGTTTGTGATTTTTATATTGGGAGCAAAGTTAGCAAAATTTTAAATATTTGGTATTTTCGTTGGATAAAGCAAGCTAGTATAATGTATGTTTTGATGCCATAAAAGTAGGAGTTAATTTTAAAACCATGAAATTATTCTCTTATAAATAGATAGTTATAACTATCCAATTTGCTGCTGTTCTAAAGGCGGCCCCTTGGGCTACCTTTTGTAGGTCAGTCTACAAAAAGATTCCTGCTCCCTTGCTTTTTTATTTTTTTATTTTTATTTTTTAAAAAGATTTTATTTACTTATTTGTCAGAGAGAAAGAGCATGAGCAGGGGGAGTGGTAGGTAGGCAGAGAGAGAAGCAGGCTCCCTGCTCAGCAAGGAGTCCAATGCGGGACTTAACCCTAACCCTGACTCAACCGACTGAGCCACCCAGGCGTCCCTCCCTTGCTTTTTTAAAAAAACAATTGTTTTGTTTTTTAGATAATCCAAGCATGATTTGTAAGACTGTTAGGAATTCCTGAAAGAGTGCATGGAATGCTTCCAGCAGTAATGGAGAGGAGAGTAGATCTACCAGTGACATTTTTATTTGAGAAGTACAGTATTTAAAAATCAAGGCTTTTCATTAATAGTTGAATTGAGAGTTTATGCCTACATTTATATTAATAGAATTGGTTGCATGTCATTTTAAGAAAATATTTCTAATTTTTAATAATGTACCTCACAAATGACATTTTTTTTTTTTTTTTTTTTCTTCTGAAGCCTTTTTTTTTTTTTTTTTAACTGTAATGCTCCAGAATTCCACCGTTCATTATACTACTGGCTAAATAGCTTAATGCAACCAAAAGAAAATAAAAGCATACTTTTAATAAGTACTATTTTTTTTTCTGATTAGAACAGAAAATGATTACCTGCTTTTTAAGGAAGAAAAAGTGCGTAAAACTAGGGGGAGAAAAGAGAAATAATTGCTTTAATCATTCCTCTGTCCAGAACCCACCCAGAGCTGGGAGGGTTAGAGAATCCCTGTGAATTACTATCTGGTGCATTTCTTTCTCTTTCTCTCTTTAGATTTATTTATTTAATCTTATTTTTTAAATACAGATTTTTAAAAAAAGATTTTATTTACTTATTTGACAGAGATCACAAGTAGGCAGAACAGCAGGCGGCCGGGGTTGGGGGGGTGGGGAAGTCTCCCCGCTGAGCAGAGAGCCTGATGCGGGGCTCAATCCCAGGACCCTGGGATCATGACCTGAGCTGAAGGCAGAGGCTTTACCCATTGAGGCAACCAGGCACCCCAGATTTATTTATTTTAGAGAGTGCAGGGGTGGGGGGAACGGTAGAGGGAGACAGAATCTCAAGCAGGCTCCCTGCTGAGCAAGGAGACCAGCTAGGAGACCAGCAGGGGGCTTCATCCCATGACCCTAAAAGCATGGCCTGAGCTGGAGCCAAGAGTTGAACTCCTGAGTGACAGAGCCATGCAAGGACCCCTGGTGCATTTATTTCTTGACCATGGAAGGATGTTGCATCCAGATGTATTGACAAGGTTATCTGTTGTTTGGTAAGCAAAGGTCGGATTTCAATAGACCTAAAACAAAAATGTTCTTAACTTTGAATGTCTGACGAACGGTATTTGCCAATACAGGAAACTGGGGTACTATCGGTGCCTCCCTGCAGTATGTGACAACATGGCAATGTTAAGGTCTTAGTGAAGTAGAACTCAGCGAAGACGAAGATTTGTAGTACATCGAGAACACCCCCACGAACACTCGTGTTTGCCTAAATTACTTTCTCATGTTTCCCCTAGATGTAGAAGCATTTTGACCCAGGGATTACAAGTAATTCCAGACAACGATTTTCCTCGTGAAAATGCTTTGTACTGTCTTGTTAAAGAATAGTAAATAGCAATGTGTGTTTGACAACCCTCCTGCTGGTATTGTTCTCCCAGGCTTTGTACCCCGGGACCAAGAGCTGCAAACACCCTGCAGTTCCCCTAGAGCTGATAGGCGGAGTGGTGGCGGGGATTTCACGCCAGTGCTAAAACTGCACAAATCCATGATTTTGCGAGAGTCGAAGAACAAAGTGAAGCTCAGTGCAAGGCATTTGTAGACCCTCAACTTTGAGATTGCTTTCAGAATGTTAATTTTGCTCATCAACTAACATGGCAAACACTTATTTGGCATTTGCTATTTGTCAGGCATGGTGTAGACATGGATCTTTTTTTTTTTTTTTTAAGATTTTATTTATTTATTTGACAGAGATCACAAGAAGGCAGAGAGGCAGGCAGAGGGAGAGGGGGGTGCAGGCTCCCTGCCGAGCAGAGAGATCATGACCTGAGCCACCCAGGCGCCCCAGACATGGATCTTTTCAGCTAACCATCACACCACCCCTCCGAGAGCCAACGAGTGAACATTTATTGAGTCCTTACTATATGCCAGGCATTGGTCTAGACTCATTAATACGGTACATCATTGAATCCTCACACAATCTATGGGGGAAGGGACTATTCTCTCCCTTCTGTGGATAAGGAAACTCAAGTTTGGAGAGGCTAGGGGAGCTGCCGCAGGTCATCTAAGTACAGAAGGAGGGAGAAATCTAGAGCCTGCACGCCTAGTCACGGAACTGTAGTAAGGCGTGGAATGCTTTGAAGCTACTGACATCAGAATTAAGATACTTTGGCATCTGGCCTCATGCCGGACAAAACGTTTTGTGTTCTTTTTAAGATCTGCTTTCGGAGCGCTGACGGCGCTGTGCGGTAAAAACAAACCACACAAAACTCTTCAAACAACCAGGAGAAGGATCATGAAAACAATTCAGCCGCGCTCCACAATTACAGCACTGCAGCCTTAGCGCTTACTGCCCGCATCCCAAAGTCCTCATAAAAATCGAGTTTATTTAAAGGACAGTGTTTAAGAAGCCGGGGTCCGTGGGCTCGCTGTTGCTGAGTGACTGAATTAACTCTAGGTTGCGGGAACTCTTTTAACTACGCAGACAACTTTTTCGCGATCCCTCGGGTCGAGATTCAGCCGCGCACGGCCTGGGCGGGACCCGGATGCCTGGCTCGGCCGGGGGCGGGCTCTCTCCTGCTGGCCGACCAATCACCGCCCGCCGCTCCGCGGGTCCCCGGCCGATTGGTGGTTGCCATAGCTCCGGTTGGTTTGACAAGATGGCGGCGGCGAGGCGGCGCGGGCCGGGTTTTCTGGCCCTGTGCTTCCCAGCTTCTAAGGCGGGCGCGGTGCTGTGAAGCTAGTCCCGCCAGGCTCCAGGCATGGGCTTGCCGCCTCCGACCCCTCTGCTCTTGGGGCTCCTCCTTCTGCTGGGCATCCTGAGGCCGCTGTGGGGGGACCTGGGTGTGTACCGCAGGGCAGAGGCCTGCAGGCTGCGGGTTGGGGATGAGGCGTTTAAGGGGCAAGACTTGGGACTCCTCCCTGTGTCCTTGCAACTAGTAAGTCCGCCCTTCCCCTTCCTTCCCGCCTAGTTTTTATTCCTGCTTTCATCCGCATGACCGGTCCCGCGGTCACTGCGTCCCTGGTGGGAGGCACCGAAGATGTGACCGTGTCCCTGACCCTGCTGCAGGACAAGGAAGGTAAAACGTCCGGCCCTTCCTGTGGGGGTGGCGTTGGGGGTGGCGTTGGGGGTGGGGTGGGCCGGAGCCAGGCCGCCCAAGGAGCCCGGGGAAGTGGCATCGCAGAATGTGGCATCCCCGGGGACCTCGGCCGCCACCCCCAGCAAAGTCGCCATGGGAGCAGGGCTGGGAGGCTGCTGTGGACCAAAGAGGACCGATGGACGGGCTCGGGGAAAGAGAGCATGGGACAATAATGGCTAGCATTCACTGTCCCCTCTGCTTCATGTGCACCCCCGCGTTTTCCCAGCAAGAACAGTAATATCCTTTCATGCCATTTAACAAATGAAGACACTACAGAGAGGCTGTCACTTGTCACTTGTCCACAGCTGTACAGCTTGCAACAGGCCCAGTCCTTGGCTGGGAAAAGGATTCCTTCCCAGGGAGCCTGACTGCAGCCTGAACACCCTTAGCTGCTGGGCAATGGTGTCTGCGCCCTAATCTCTCCTATAGGATTATTGCCCGTTCCAGCTTGTGGAGTGCTGACCAATGAGACAGGAGACTGGAGCTTGACTGTGACCCCCACTGTGGTAAGCCAGAGGTAAAATGTTCTCGGTGCCACCAGTGGAGACCCACAGTTATCTGCACTGCTCTCTTGGTTGGACATGGTACAGTTTTCTCTGTGCTTGGAACTACCATGACCCCGTGGGTTATCACATCTGGTAGACACCCGCCCAGCCCAGAGGTGCTGATGCTTGGGTCAGGGGTCCTTGGATGAGTTTCAAGAAGCTTGTGAACCCTCTGAAATTGTCTGTAACATTCTGTGTGCGTTTTTCTGATGACAGAGGGTTAGCAGCTTCCATCAGACTATCAGATGGGTCTGTGACTCAAAAATCTTCAGGAATCACTGGCCTCACCCAGCTCTGAGCTTACGTGTAGGGATACTGAAGCCGGGAGAGATGAAATATCTTCCATTTAATAAATGTTTTATTGAGTGCCTAGTATGCGCAAGACATCAACTCTGGAGATAAAGGCTGGGAAAGGCAGACTTTGCTTGCATCCCAGGAACTGGGGACTGTTTTCATTGACTTTTTAATGTGTGTATTTGATGTTCTGCTGATACACTGGTAGGATGATAAAGAAACTAAAATCGTGCTGGACACACTGAGTTGATTTATCAGACAGACCCGTGTTTAGTCTTCTCTAATATCCAGACGTTGCTTGCTTTTCTGTTGAACTGAGGATTAGGAATCGGGGCTTGCCTGGTGCCCTAGGCTTACGGGGTGAGACTGAATAGAATAATGGCCTTTTTGTATACAGTTCTCCTTTTGTAAAGTGGGCTGAGGCTGATGGGTGATTTTATCGTGTTTCCCATTGTATGTTCTTAGAATGATTCATGCTGTGTTCAGTCGCTTTAAAAGGGACAGCATACTTTCCTTTCAGAATGCGTTGGAGGTGACAGTGAGATTGAAGAGGGGTCCGCAAAGGTGTTCCTCTAATGAGACGGAGTCCTCCTCAGAGTCCCCGTGTATGGTCCAGGCTCTTCTGGTTTCAGCATCTCGGAATTCATCCTGTTTAGCTCATCTACTCATCCGAGTGGAAATTTATGCCAACTCTTCTTTGGCCCATAATGCATCAGGCAAGTAAAGTCTTTGACAATCAAAACATTCACTGTTGACATTATCTCTTGGATTATAGGCCTTTGCCACATAATCTGTACGCTCTGCTCTTGAGTCCGTCTTGCCTTCCTAAACCTATTTCCCTTTTGTTGAATTTTCTTGGTTTAGAAATTCCCACTTTGTCCTCTTTGACTTAATTCAGATCTGTTTTATTTTGCTCTACTGTTTGTACCCTTGTAGACTGCCTTCAAGGGAGGGAGAGAGTGAAGTTTGTTTCTGTGCATTGGATTCTTGTGACTCCATCTTGAAACCAAACCAAACCAAAAACAAAACAAAACAAAAAAGCAAGGGAAAGATTAATGAAGGAGTTTACAAAACAAACCCCCCCCCCCCCCCCCGCAATAGATTTTCAGTGAAAGCTTTGGATAACCAGCTTCCTTTTCCTGAGGCAGCCTCTTAATTTACACTTATGGAAGTGTGTGGTATTCTTGGTTTTTTTTTTTTTTTAAAGATTTATTTATTTGACAGAGATCACAAGTAGGCAGAGAGGCAGGCAGAGAGAGAGGAGGAAGCAGGCTCCCTGCTGAGCAGAGAGCCCGATGCAGGGCTAGATCCCCTGACCCTGAGATCATGACCTGAGCCGAAGGCAGAGGCTTTAACCCACTGAGCCACCCAGGTGCCCTGTATTCTTGTGTTTAAAAACAGCATTCAGGGGCGCCTGGGTGGCTCAGCGGGTTAAGCCTCTGCCTTCGGCTCAGGTCATGATCCCAGGGTCCTGGGATCGAGCCCCGCATTGGGCTCTCTGCTCAGCAGGGAGCCTGCTTCCTCCTCTCTCTC